CTGGAGATGTTGCAACGTAACTTCCTTTGGGGGGGTCGTGGAGAGGAGTTTAAGTATCATCTTGTCAGGTGGGAGTAGGTTTGCAGGCCTCTTCAGTTGGGCGGGCTTGGGATTAGGAGATTGGCCCCCTTTAACAGTGCTCTCCTTGGTAAGTGGCTTTGGAGATTCGGCAGTGAAAGGCATAGATTATGGAGAAGGGTTATTTCCTGTCGCTTTGGGGAGGAGAGGGTGGTGGTCAGCTAGGCCAGTCAGGTCTGCTAGTGGAGTAGGGGTGTGGAGGGCCATTGGAAAAGGATGGGACGAGTTTTCCAAACATGTTAGATTCAAAGTTCGGGATGGAAGGTTTGTCCGGTTTTGGGAGGATCCCTGGTGCACGGATAGGCCTCTGGCTCTTTTGTTTCCAAGGCTGTTCAGGATTGCTGTTGACAAACATACTATGGTTGCTAATTGCTATCGCCTTGATAGCGGGAGGTTATCTTCGGATGTGCGATTCCAGCGATCTTTTCAGGATTGGGAGTTGGATGATGTCACTGGCTTGTTGGCTCTCTTGTACAGACAGGAGGTGGAGGGCACCGGTGTTGACTCCCTGTTTTGGGTGCACTCTTCTCAGGGGATGTTCCAGGTCCGGTCTTTTTTTGTATGCCTTTCTGGTTTTCATGGCGCTTCCTTCCCGTGGAAGATGGTGTGGGTTGTCTAAGGCGCCTCTTAGGGTGGCCTTTTTCGTGTGGACTGTAGCTTGGAGCAAGATTTTGACTTTGGATAACTTGAGGAAACGAAGACATATTATTGTTAATCGGTGTGGTCTTTGTAAGTTGAATGGGGAGTCAGTGGATCACCTGTTGCTGCATTGTCCTGTGGCTCATGATTGTTGGAGTATCATTTTTGATTTGTTTGGTATTCATTGGGTTATGCCTCGGACATCTTGGGATTTGCTGGATATTTGGAGGGGCCAATGGGTGGGGGCTCAGGCGAGAGTCTTCTGGAGGGTAACCCCCTTTTGTGTTTGGTGGAGCATTTGGAAAGAGCGGAATAGAAGATCTTTTGATGGGAAGGAGGCCTTCATTGGGGTGTTGAAATTCTCTATTATTTGTACTCTTTTTTGTTGGGGTTGGGGGAGAGATTTTTCCTCCATTGAGGATATTGTGGACTTTGTGGGTTCCTTGAGATTATAGTTTCAGTTTTTTGTATAGCTTGGGACGCGTTCCCCTTTTGAACGCCTTTTATACATTTTACTTATCAAAAAAAAAAAAAAATCTAGCTTCGAAGAAACCCAGCTTTGTAAATCATCTTCTTATTGAAATTTGATCCTTCACCTAGGTAGTAGTTGATTCTCAATCTTGATTGCATTAAGTACCCTTGATCACAGGAATTCGGCTCTGATGAATTAGGTCCAGTAATTTATTGCAAATGTTGTCTATAAGCTTTTTTACACCACCTTTGACAAGTGATCTACCCACCCCGCTTTGATCTTTGTTACATGGACTCTTCAAAAGTAGTTAAGTACCCATGTCGGACACATATCCCTCGGACATGGGTATGGGATATGCGTCCTACACTTTTGATTAGACATGTACTTACAAAACATATCCAATCATTCAATTACATTATATTTTTACTTTAAAAAGATTTAAATATCTATATTGAACATTATATTAGATAAAAACATTACTTTATTTTAGAAAATAAAATAAAATAATTAATAAAATGAATATTTAACCGTGTCCGTATGTCCTTTTGTTTGGAGATTTGACACGTCTGACACATGGATACATACCCGTATCCGACACCCGTACCCGAGTCCATGTATAACATAGGCTTTGATTACTATAATGTATATACGTTGGCCTGCATGTCTTGTGTATTACCATTATCATAGTTCCATTATTTCCTTGATATAATTTGAGATGTCAATGTTGGTATTGCCTCAATCCACAGGACTTGCTCATTTAGCAAGTCTCTTTTCAAAATTGAAGCCTCTTAAGGTATTTGTTGGTTTACCTCTTGATCTAACCATGAAACCAGATAAGGTCTAGTTACTAGTAATTCTTTGAGCCCCAAGTAATCGGGGAAAAAAAAAAAAAATCTATAGAAACAAAGTTTTTGGAGAATCTACCATTGTTAACCAACGAAAAATGCATTTTTACACTCACGAGTCACAGTTCTAGTGCAAGATATAAAATTTTGTCGCAAATCATAATGTGCTGAAAGATGTATTCTAATCTGACACAATAGTAACTTTCCATTTGTGTTGTCATCGACCTTGAGATGAGAGATATCATTCTTTCTTCGGTTGTGTTTTATTTATCTATTAATTTTTTTAATCTTTCGCTGCGAACTTCATACAACAGTTTGCAGGTCTTGTGGCTAGGTTACCCTTTTTTGACAAACTTGAAACCACTGGATGTTGTTGATTCTGACTTATCTTCTGAGAGTCAAAATTATATTTGATGATGTTAACATAGAGATTGAAACATCTGATGTGGGCTCGTGTATTAATTATAATCACTTCAACTTCTTGTCAAACAACTTGAAATTTCTCTTCCACGGTCCATAATCTAGTGCTTGCCATATCATATTGTGGTTAGGATTCATGACTCTTAGTCCATCCCAGTTTTTTTCTGCAAGTACCTCTTCGGATTCACTAAGCGTGCTGTAATGGATGGTTATAACTTTTTTTTTTTTTGCATATTCATCAGCATTGTTTTTTTTGCATATCATAGTGTGATTAGGATTCATGATTCTTAGTTCATCCCAGTATTTTTCTGCAAGTACCTCTTTAAATTACAGAAAGACACTGTTGGTAGTCCATGGAAAGGAATCTACCCTTTAAAATTATTTTCAGCTCATCCCATCTAACCACTTCACAGCTCTTGCCTACCACATCTGTACTACCCCCTCAAGTATTTCTTAAATTTGGTTAAGATGTCATGCCACAAATGATATTTGCGAGTCAAGCCATTCAAGAAAAATTCTGCATTCTTATTCCCATGAAAATCGTCACTTCTGATTTGACATTTTTCTCCCATTAATTGATTTTCATTTATATTTGTAGTTATTTAGTGCTATTTGTTTCGTCTTTTATATCATAATAATGATGACTTGTATTGGGAGTATTCATATATATATATATATATATATATATCTCAACTTGTTTTCCTCTAGGATCCATGTTCATTGCTTGTTGTCCTAAACACTTTGAATTTTTTAAAATCATATTTTGGTGTCCCTGATATCCAAAAACACATGTTAGTCTTGCCATATTGCCCATATACATGGATATGTCTTTCCATGGGTGCATGTGTGTGTGTTTATAAAAGTTAGATAATTTACGAAAGTTTCACTTTTTGTACATTGAATTTTCAGAAGGAACTCTTATTTTAGATCGTCCCAAAAAGAAAAAGGGGGACATTTTTTTGGGACGGAGGGAGTGTATCTTTGTCATGAACATCATGAGATTGTTTATTTAAAGGGCAGCTATCATATCTTTGATCGCGGTTAAGCGATCAACACAATCTTTTGATCTTTCTATTAATCTTCAATCGCATGCTCTAGGTATTCAACTTCTCACTTTTGAGTTTGGAATCATCTCATAAGGAATTTGGATCTTAGTGTATCGTCCTATATTATTCACCACTTCGAAGAAGATATCTGCACAAAATATGAATATTTCTTGATTTGATATCAAATTTGATGTCACTTGTGGAGAATATGTTAGGTACAAAAATTGGTGGGCCTTATTACAAGTGTGGTCCATATGATGAATGAAACTTGTCCTGGGTATTGGAGTGCCTTCATACTCCTCAAGATAACCGTGGTAGAGTGTCTGCCATCTAGGTGAATAAAGAAGGTCACAACCCTGTTATGATGATGCTTTTGCTTCCTGTGAAGTTGGAACTCTTGAACATCCAATAAGACAAACAACGTGCTTTGGTTCACTTAGGGTCGCATTAAGGTACATCCCATTGTAGGGAATCAAAACACTTGGGCACTTTGGGACCCTCTCTTGTCCCAGGTTATCGTATAGCAGGAGGGTGTATTTAGAGGGGAAGTAATTCTCTAGCCAAATGGTACTTTACTCTTTACTTTGTTTATGGTTTGTGGCATCCACAGAATGGGCTGTCCATATGTATACGAAGTCACAGAATGGGCTGCCTTCATACTCCTCAAGACAACCGTTATGTGCTTCACTCTCTCGTACACACCCGCTATTGTCCCCAAAGGGACTTGGAACCTCAATTGAGCTAAAAGCTCAGTGGTATTTTGATAACATTTGACCTAATCCTCGTTGATCTATGTAGGATGCGTATGTTATAGGAATTTTATCAAGAGATGATTTTCTTTGAAGTATTGGAAAATGAGACTGCATTATCTGCCATTTGCCAGTGCTTTCAGTGTAATTAAACATTTGAAACGTAGGGAATGAGACAGTTTACAATTGGTGGCAGTTTGTTGAGGAAAAATCTGTAGCTTGATTAAGGTTAAGAAAGGCACCGATCAGATATATTATTTCTAGCGGTAGGCAACTTTGTGTTGATTATGTACTCAATGTTGATTCTTGCAGCAACACTCTGTTTGTAATGCTGTTATTATATCTAAATAAATATTCTCTACTTGAATTATGAAATATATATATATATATATATATTCTCTACTTGCTTAGCTTAAGGTTCATAATCACATTTGTTGTTGTTATCTACATGTGGTGGTGAAATGTGATGTTGCTTCATTTCATAATTGTGAATTTATATTATCCATCCGTTCACCGCGTGTTGCTTTTTTCAACTGAAAAACATAGATTGATTTGCTTCTTCAGATATTTGGTGTTTCTCAGTAGCTGTATATCATCTGGTCTACATGCTTAATTAGTTATTCTTCCCACATTTTCTATATAAATTGCTCATCTTATCATTTCAGTACCTTTTTTTTGGTTATTTTTACTGTTATTATCATAATTTTGGCTTATTATATATGTTGTTCACATATATGTTTCCGTTTTCTAGGCTTTTAACAATGCTTCAGTCCCTCCATCAGCTCAGGCTACTTTTCCATACATATTTGCTGTCAGCAAATATTTGCAGGTAGCTACATTTCTGTGGAAGCTTATGCACACCATATTAATTTCCTTGAAATGATTATATATATATATATATATATATATATATTCTGGTTCTTTCTAAATGTCCTCAAATCTTCAGTCTGAGTTAAGCCTATATGGTGACTCTTTTGTTGCAGCCTGGAACTTTTGATCTTGTGGGCACTGTAATTTATGAAGTAGACCAGAGCCCATACCAAAGTACATTCTACAATGGTACCATTGAAGTTATTGAGGCTGGTGCTTTTGTAAGTGTTGAGTCTGTTTTCCTGTTTTGCCTTCTGATCGCACTCCTTGTCCTACTTTCGTTGTGGATACAAACTCAGATACAACAACTTTCCAAGGTACTTACTATGCGCCATGTATAATAAGCTCTGTTGTTGATATAAAATGTATCTGGGATGTCATTTACCTAATTTTGATGTCAAATTCTATATGTATTCTATCTGACATTCTTAATTTCACCCGGCAATGCTCTTCTAACTATTTTATTTCTGAAAGATATCTTACTTTTTCTTGGCATCGGCATTTAGAAAAATATGTGAACTTAGACTGAAAAATGATCAAAATGATTCTTAAACGAGGTGTTTGTTGTTGGTCTCTTTTTATTTTTATGTATTTATTTATTTTGGTTTGTGGGGCTGGTGGAGGTATTTGAAAAGAGGCCTTGTTATCAATGCCATGTATGAATTTTGTTCAAGTAATATATCTTTTCACAAAGTACTTTTACATATCATATGAAATCCATTGTGATCATAAAGTAGACACGCACACATGAATTTTTTTCTCAAGTATGCATCTTTGATGGGGTATCTAGTAGAAGTTTTATATTTGTAAAATTTAATATACGAGCACTTTAGTTGTCTTTCACCTGTTCCTGACTTCATCACACTTTATAACTCCTTCACATGTTTCCACCCCTAAATCCTCCAAATAAATGCTTTAGCTTCTCTTTTCACTTTATATTTCAATTCTGGTAATGTTTTGCCATGTGGGCTAAAGGAAGGGACAGGGATCTTTTTTTTTTTTTTTTTTGTCTATCTGCATTTCTCCGTGACTTTATATCCCATTTAGTTCGGTTTTTATTTTCTCCCCGAGGCAAATTCTTTAAACTTCTCCTCTTTAATATTCAGAAATCTAAGAGGGCGCCAAAGGTGGAAGTAGGAACTGGGACCACTGATGCTTCAATGGATGAATGGCTGCAGGTGTGTATCACAATCACAATATCCCCACTTTTTATTGTAATTATTTTCTTAAATCATGTTCACTCTTGAAGCATATATATATATATTGATGATTCGCGTCATATTTTTTCTTCTTTTTATTTATTTAAACTTTTTCTGTTTAGGGAACTGCATATACTCAGGCACAATCAAACAAATCAAAGAAGAAGAAGTAGACGATCCAACATGCAGACCCAGTCTAGCTGTACGAAGCACTCGAACGAGGGGTAGTTCTTGTAACTCGGAATAGGCATTTGGAGATTTTAAGAAAAAAGCAAAAAAAGGAGTTGTGGTAGTTTTTAGAAAACTAGACCAGAAAAGACCTTGCCTTGCTGTTGTAGCATGGGGAAGAGACTTTTACGTTTCATTTTCTTGGAGATGCTGAAAGTTGAGCTTTTCTAAAGCAAAAACTAACGGGGATTTGATGTAGAGAATATACAATTTTGTTAAAAATAATACTGTGTCCTGTCGGTGTCGGTAGATGAATCTCATTTTGTTCTTTCAATTTGATCAGTCTTGGCTTGTTCTCTGGATAAGCTGTGGAGTAATATATTTGAGTTGACAATCTTGTTAGCAGAATTTAGGAAAGCCAAGGCAGTGAGAGCCATTTAAATAGCACCATAGTTATGCTGCATTTTAGAGCATGAATTTGACGTACTGTCAAACATGCGCATTAATTTTGGGTGAGATTCCTACTGGTGACAGATCATTTTCTTCTTGTAAAATGACGAGTCCGGCTCTTGGACTAATTCGACTATTTTATATGACTGGAGGATGATGTTATCAAGTGTAGTCTTCCCGGCTCTTTCTTCTGGCTGCATTTATTATGTCAAATGAATTCGTTATTATTATTTCTTCTTAATGTGAGTGGAGGATGACGTTATCAAGTATGGTTAGATGTCTGACAATTTATCGCAACTATCTTCAGGCTGCATTTATTATGTCAAATGACTCTCCTAGGTTTCTCTATGTGATGATTTGCAATTGGTTAGAAAACTTCACTTCCAACAAATTTCGAATGCAATTATTTTGATGGCACCAAATGGAATTTTTGTCGTCGTTGATAGATTTGCCCGTGAGAGGTATTGTAGATCTAGACCTAATAAGATTGTACTTGACATGGAGTATAAATATACTTGGCATTTGTCACTATTTGCACAGTAAATAATGCAATCCTCATTGAATTTTATCATTATACTAAACGGTACTCGTTACTCTAAACGACCAACCTATTATACGAGGCTTTCTCTAATCGTTATTGGACGATCTGAAAAGGGTTAGACTCTTATTTTTATATATAAAGAACCTATTTTTCATTTTAAACCCTCTGAAGCAATCTTTCGTTGCCCATCATCTATGTAAAAATTTCTATTTCTTTTAAAAAAAGTTTGGTAGGGGTATCTTTTCAATATTGTTCCTCCTATTCCATCAGAAGGGGCTGTCATGAACAGAATGGATTTTGATGGCTCTTTACTACCCATCTATTTAGCAAAAGGTAGTGTGTGTACTATATATATATATATATTAAAATCTCTGTTAAGATACATATGCACATCAATCAATGTCCATATGAAGCATGACACGTATAAAACTCCAGCAGAAATAAGAACAAAGCGAATGAGCTAATTAACTGGATCTTTCTCTCTGTCTCTTCTTTTTCTGACCTTTCAATCGATGGCCAAATCGTTAGGTGACTCTTTCACTACCATTCATGTTATAATTTGGTCCACGATTTTCATATATTCTTCTTCATAATGTGACAAGCTATTTTTTTTTATTTTTACATGCTCTTCACGTGATGGACTTGCCTTTAACTTCGACTTAAATTTTTTTGAAATATCGAAAAATAAAAATAAAAAAAATATTTTACCTAAAAACAGAAAATATAAAAAATATTTTCCGTTGAAACAAACGGAGCCTAAATTAGTGATACAACCTACAAATATATTGAAAAGTTGACTAAAACTCGCAAGATTTTTGTAGGGTGCATCACTAACCAGAGGATAAATTTGATGTGTTAAACAGGAAAGGATCCAAACTAATAAGAACGAACACTAAAAATAGCCAGTTCAATAATGCATCACCACCACTGCTCTTTAGACTTACCCTCCTTCGATGATATCAAAAAGACTTTCTGCTTCATTCAGTTTTCTTTTAACATATTTTAAAACTAAAAAAAAAGTAAAAAAATCTAACTACTACAACTACTATGGTATGCTGTATGTGATAACAAGCAAATATTTAAGGTATCTTAACTTTACAAAACTTTTATTCTTTTAAATTCATACTAGGTGATAGGTGGTAGGTATCCATGAAGTAAGAGGTTAATCCCGTATTTCCAATAAGAAATAAGGAGGAACGAATCCACATTTCAGTACGAGGTAAGATACAAATTCAACCTTTTAACAATAGTTAAATTCAACATTTTAGTAATAATAAGTAAAGAACGAATCTAACTTTTTAACAAGAGGGTAAGGAACAAATTCAACCTTCTAATAATAATAGGCAAGGAACGAGCTCAATCTTTCGATGTAAAAGTACTAGAATGGAGATGAGGTTAGAATTATTCAACTTTGGTCTTTACTGAAAATTTGGAGAAAGCACACCCCAACATTAAGCCTTTGTTTTGGCTTTGTTAAGGAAGTTTTGGTCATGTTATAAAACAACTTATCATATTACATATACCTACACTAGCTTCTTTTAATAGTTGAACTTAGTACCTTGTTTCTATAGAAATTAAGCATTGCACGTGACTTTATTTATAGTGTCAGTACCATTTCGTATGAATTGATGTGTCCAGACCAGACCATATATAGCCCATTAATTGAATCGACAAACAGATTCATGGTTGGCTACAAACATCCAAAATGTTGTAGGGACAGTCCCTGCCCTTCTTCTCTTCTTTTTTTATTCGATCTTGTTATTATTAATATTTTTTCCAGCAAAGAGAACGAGATATCACTGAGTTATACTGAGTTATAGACTTTGATCGATCTTGTTTGCTGGTTAATGGGTTTTGTTTTTTGTTTTTTATTAGTTAATGAATGGCATAATAGAGGGTATGCTCAACTCTTTGGGAGTCACTCAAAATCTCACCAATGTGCAATAAGTTTTGGCCATGCATATGACATAGGGTTTCGTAGTTTAGTGATACTTTTTTGCTTTTCAAGATAAAGAGTTCTAGCCTTAGGGTTCAAAAAAATATATAAAAGTTATGATATATAAATAGATCCATATAAGAGTGATCAAACTTAACTATAACATTACTCGTCACGAGCTTCGCTTTCTCAGTCAATGTCAAGTTCAATCTCGATCTTAATTTTGGCCTCGAGCTCAAACTTGAGCTAGAGATCAAGAATGTTGAAAAAAAAAAAAAAAAATCACCTATAAATTTAAATATTACCTAAAACTAGAGTCATGTATACAATACCTATAAATTCCATTGTGGTCGGAGACTCTATGTCAACTCAACTATTTCGTGGAAAGAATGACGAGATCGCCCCTTTCATTCTTGTGTGATGGTCGACAGTGACGGACCCAGAAAATTTTGTAAGGGGGAGCAGTCTTTTAATTTGTGGGAGTAAACTTATATGGTGGATTCATTTTTTTAATTTCAATGGGGTTTTCTTTATAAATTTTTAAAAATTTAAAGTATAAAATGCACAAAAAAAAAAAAATATATATATATATATATATATATATATATAGTGGTGGTGAATTGTAATTTTAGTGGGGGCATCTTCAGAAATTCTTAAACATTTGAAATATAAAATGTAAAAAAAAAAAAAAAAAAAAAAAAAAACAATTCAGTGGGGCATCTTCATAAATTCTAAAAAAATTGAGATATAAAATAAAAATATAAAAAATTCAGTGGAGGCCTTCGTCCCCGCTGGTCCTATGTTGGATCCGTGCTCGATGGCCAAAGACTCTATGTCAACTCAACTATCTCGTGGAAAGAACGATGAGATCGCCCCTTTCATTCTTGTCTGATCAAGGAATCACCATTCAAGCTTTTTTTTTTGTTTTGTTCCCCCACCCCCGAGGTCTAGAGAAAGCTGTGATCAATAGGATTTATCTAATCCTCCCTTCAAAAGGAAAATGTCTAAAATTCTTTTTCATTTCCACAAGGATAGAAGATTGGATCTAATCTTAGCAAGGTACATTGATTCACCTTTATCCAATCTCAAAATATTAGATTCAATGAGAAATTATTACACGGTCAATCACAATCCAACAAGTAAAAAATCCATTGAATAAATTTAACACCTTTACTTTTGTTAGGAGTTATGATTGACCAAGAGCATGTAAAAATTTCCAAGCCATTAGAATCCAAAAATGAACCATCCATCATTATCATAACGAGGAGAGCAATATGACCTCAAGAAATTATTATATGGTCAGGGACACGTAAGTAAATATATGACTTTTATTCAAATTTTTTTTACATTCGTATAAGTTGTGATTGGCCAGAACTATATAACGTAAACCCCACGTAATAATTAATTTTGTCAATGAATTCAGTATGATACATATGGATCCCAAACTCATCTTGTCCGACCCCTCAGAATATGTTATATATGGATCCAAAGTTCATCTTATCAACACTGCACCACATGGTGTAAGAGCTAGTTGTGCTGACCCAGATCACGTTAATAAGGGAACTACTGATGTCCCTAGCTTAGCTCTTTCTCTTTTTGTGTTTTTGTCATTCTGTGAAACCAACGAAATGGACTCTGACAATCTCGTCCCCATCTATTCAATTTCTTGCATTTCTTTTCCTCATCAAAGAAAGTGACCCAAACATGCCCACTTACATGGATCAGGCTTCTTCTTTAGGAGGACTGTACTGTGTTATTTATTGGATGACCCCACGGTGTCAAAACTGTAATGTCACTTGTTCAAAAAAAGATAAGATTCTCCCTCATTTGTCCCCACACCCCTTCTTCTTTCTTTTTTTCAATAAAAAATAAAAATAAAAGTCTTATACCATTATAGGAAGAGTGAAATTTAAGTCTTATGCCTCGTAAGTTAGCAGATAATTCATTCGTGATTTTGGCACTGGACGTTTCCAAAATGGATAATAAACAATCTGTTGGCATTCCAGCCTTCTTTCTCCTCTGAGGGCTTACTCGAAAGAGAATCCAATACTTTTTGGTCATGAATATCTGAACTGGTTATTTACCATTCAAGAATTATCGTTTAGGCAGTTCATACCATCCATACATAGTGTTTTGACCTCTTCCATATTTCAGCAATAACATATTGTTCCATGGAGCTAAAGTCCAAACGCAGTGAGGGGATTTGTACGATTTTTCCAAACACCGAAAGTTAGTCCTATCATCATCTGACTATGCTACCCTTGTAGGGTTAAGATTGTGCCTCATTTGTCCCCAAACTTTTTTTCTTTTTTTATTTGTTAAAAAAGTCTTCTCATTGGATGACTCCTCACTTGTACCAATCTTATGACACGAGTAAAATTTAAGTCGCGGGCTTGCGGAGCGGATGGAATTTGAACCCACACTTAGTACACTAGATACAGTTCGTTCAGACATTGAATGTTAGTAGTTCTACCATCCAATTGTGCTAGGTTCGTCTTATCAAAGAGTTTATTATTATTTATTTTTTTCTTCATATAATGAATTAGGGCTGCAATTCGAATGGATCAACTCGAATCTAAATCAACTTGATTTAGAATTAGAATATTCTGACCCGAGCTATATTAGTTAGGCCCAAATGTGTTAAGTTCAAACTTACTTAGGTATGATGCAATTCAAATCCAAGCATAAGTTAACAGTCCGAACCTATCACATCCATACTCCAATCATTTTTACAGGGTTGTCTAAAGATTTTCGGTTGAACGTTTGACTTGTGAAAAATTGTGGTCCATGGGTGTAGTGCGTCTCAATTAGAGGTGGGAATACTTGACGCTGACTACACAGTAACACAATTCGAATCTAATATGAAATAAGTAGGTTGCATTTGATTTAATTATTTTTGGATCATAATTATGTCGTGTTCGTATTTGATTCATCAATTCATTTGTAACTCAATTAATTCGTTTAACTAGATGTGTCATATTCTTGTAACAAATGACTCATTTAATTAAACATGTCGAATCAACGTGTTTTATCATATGAAATACGTCTCGACTCATTTACTAAACACGTTACGCATAACGTGTCTTGTTATTTAAATAATAATTATATTACATTTGTAAAAAGATTTTTTAACATAAATAATAATCGTATTATGTTTGTATCAATCCATATAACATAATATTTATTTGATACAATTCGAATACAACGGACTACTACAAATTGCAATCAATCCATTGGTATTCCACCGAGACTTTGGCTTTCAAATTTGAATTTAAAAATAACTATTTTTTATTTAGTTGTTTAAATAGTAGAAGAAATATTTTAAGTGACGGAAATTTTAAGAAAGAAGAATATTATTAGTCCATTAAATTTGCCGCCAATATGGAACCCAACAAAACATCACACAGATCGAGTTGACATGAATTTTTATATTTTTACCAAATAAATAATTTCGTACCTTAGTCTCATTTAATTTATAACTCATCACATATAAGTTTTTGTAACACTTCACAGGTTACAAGACCATTAATTGTGCAGGTACCATTTTTATTAAATAATTATGAGGTAGTAGTACCTGAGTAAGCTAAAGGTGACATGGACCACATATGATATGGATAAGGATTAAATCTCAACTGTATGGACCCCAGTAATTATAGTTCAATGCCACTAAGATACCCCATCATTAGGGTTAAATTTTAAAATCAAATTTGACCTCAACTCGTTTAGTCAACTTCAAATTTGATCCCAATCTTAAACTCGAGTTCAGACTTAATTATGTTCATGACCACCGGTTTATAAGCATGTTCACGAGCTAAGCAAGCTCGAGTGAAGCTTAAATTGTTCACGATATTAGCTCCGGCGAAGCTTGAATTGTTCATGAATCAGTCGGTTTGTTTGTGACCTTTCTCAATTTCGATGCACTACTTGAAAAGAAGGAATAGACAAGGACAATTGGGGCAAATGCTCCCATGCCATTATCAACTTGACACTACAATGGTGCAAGTCACTATAAGTGGAACTACATCCTATGTGGCTATTTGGATTACCAAATCGACATTTAATTCAAAATTTTAATTAAATTTGATCAATTTAGTGCTTCCATACCTAGCATAATTGCATGAATCCTACTTCGCGTCATTTATAGCTATAACTTCATCTAAACTAAATCTCGTCACCGACCGGTCCATATTTGACAATTGCACAAGTCTGGTGCACTCAATTTGCCCTAAACTAGAACACAGGAGTTGTAATGTTCATCAAAATTGAAAAACAATTGAAAAATACTCCTAAATCAAACCTATCCAAATTGTATAGGAGTAAATTTTAATCAATTTTAATTGGATAAAGTATACTCAGACCCTTTCAAGTTTACTAAAAGGACACCCAAATGAAACTTACATGATTTTTGGACAAAGACACCCCCTTATACGAAACTTGAACCAAACAAGGACTTAAATCACCTGAAAAGACGAAATTACCCTTATTATTAAATTCAAATTTATTGTAAAATATCAAACATATTAAAAGGACAAAATTACCCCTAAAAAAAACCCAAATTCCCAAAGGCCCGAGTTTGAGCAACCAGAGTATGGATCTTAGAATGGTCTGGCGCCGTCTGGCCCACCGTATGTCCATTGAGAGAGAAGAGATTGCCAATATTTTTAATTTTAATTTTAATTTTTTTACTTTTTTTAATGCATAAATTCACGAGGGTAGATTGGTTCAAATTTTAAAATTGTAAAGTCCCCTAAACGGTCAAAGTATAATTTAATCAATTTCTCATGTATGGTTCAAATTTTAAAATTGTAAAGTCCCCTAAACGATCAAAGTATAATTTGATCAATTTCTCATGTAAGGAGTGTCTTTGTTTAAAAAAGAGATAAATTTCATTTGTATCTTTTTAACAAACCTCAAAGGGTGTTAATGTACTTTACCCATTTTAATTTTATTTACCCCTAAAAATTTGTATTATACAATGTAAAACATACAATACATGTACATTTACACACACACACAGATAGATATATATATATATATATATATATATATATATATCTCACAGAATCTTGGTGACTGCAATTTGAGAGTAAAACAATAGTGTGTGCTCAAGTCCCAATCCAATTAGTGGTCTTCCAAAAAGTGGGAAATAATTAAAAATTAAAAAGAGAAAAAGAAAACTATTATCACTCCAAATGATGCTCCCCAAAAAGGAATCAAAGAAAAGCATAGAAAATCGCATCCCATTTACATTAAAAAATATTTAAAAAGTAAAGCTATCACTATTATTTTTTCATCAAAATTAAGAAATTTCTATAATGTTGTTGCCATTTCATTGTCCACGTCGTCATATAACCTTCCTCATACAATACTTAGCTATTAAGGAAAAACAAAAAACAGTAAACAAACAACAGAAAAGAATATGCAGTAGCATTTTCCGGGAAAATAGATTCAGAAAGCAAAGTTTCCGGGAAAATTGACATCTCACCAGTGGGTGCCTCTCAGCTTAGACACCCAACCAACCCAAGAGAGAGAGAGAGACTGTAAATGAATGCTCAGTATATGGAGCATATATATATATATATATGCATATATATTCGTACTCGAATATATATATAACCTGACACAAAATCAAAATGTGACTTTCACTTTCTTTCTCGAAATTGAAAATTAAAAAAAAAAAAAATTTAAACATTCGGATTCCAAAGACTCCACAAACGCGAATTTAATAACCCCAAGACGTCCGGCAATACCTTCCTCGCCATACCCTTGTGGTTGCTCGCCGGCGAACTCCGCAAAACCATCGCCGTCGTAGACGTCGTCGATGCCTCTTCCTCCTCTCCCGGCAAGCACACCTCTTCGGTCTCTGACTCAACCATCTCTTCCTCTCCTTTCTTCTCCGCCGTCTCCTCAGCCTTTTCAGGCGGGGAAGAGTCTTTTTCCGGCGAACCCACAGAAGAGGAAGAACTCTTCTCAATCTCCGGCACGGTTGCGTCAGGCACATCGGCTGTCTTGTCGACGGACTGGCGACCCAATTTCTCTCTCTTCTTCCCTTTCTCTCTCTTCTTGGACTTCTCGCCGTTGGCCAAGTGTTCCTCGAAGGCCTCAATCGCTTGGTGGATGAGTTCGCGGTTCGGCGACGAGTCCCACCGGAACCAGTAGCTCGTATAGCAGTCGAAACAGCCACAATCGAAGACCGGAGGCTTGTGGGCGTCGGATTTCTTGGCCGATTTCTTCTTCTTGTCGTCGGCGCCGATCGACGACGGGTTCGAGGCGGACATCATCATCGACCTGGTAATCATGTAGGCCAGGACTTCCCGGTCCTCCAGAGAGAGAACCGAAGCTAGAGCGAGAATCGCAGTGGGGAGGAGCTTCAACACAGAGAAAGCGTCTCTGTTTGCGGCGGAGTGAGAGGGCACAGATGATGATGATGAAGACGAAGATGGAGATGGGTATACTTTACCTTTGTTTCTCATCTTCATGATTTTCTTGCGTTGAGTGAAGGGAATAGTTGCTAATTTTGGTCTTCTGTGTCTGTTGTTTCGGATGGGTGAAGAGAGAGAAAGAGAAGGGGTAGAGAGAGAAAGTGATTTCTGGTGTTATGTGAGAGAGAGTGATGTAGGGTTTGTATTTTCTTGATAGGCACGGCAGGAAAGAGAGGTCGCCGTTGCTTATTTTTCAGGTCAGAGTACCACTTTGCTTCACGTCCCTATTAAGCGCGTGTTTATTACCGCCAGCTAACCGAGGTTAAAAAGGGGGACTTGGGCGGACCACGGTTAAGTACCACCTCAGCCAGCCTTAAACATGAGTCCGATAATTTTTTTCATAGGTTAATTACAAAGGCACCCCTGAGGTTTATCATTGACAGTCATATATAATTTAGCCATTTTTTGAACAAAAACACCTCCTTAGATTTGATAAAGTTAACAAAGACACCCCAATGGTTGTGAATTGACATTATTGTCTTTTGACACATTCAATTACTAATTTATCCAATACAACTATTTTTTATTGACCAAAATACCTTAGAAACCATACTTAGACCAGTTCACACCCACCACCACCATTTCATAGCCGTACCATAGCCGCCACCACCTCCACCACCATGGTGCTCGAAATAAGGCTATCAAGTATTACAAAATACAAAATAGAAAGTGCAAAGATCAATTCCTAATCTCTCTGTATAATATACACATAACCCGTAATCCATCTTCTTCTCCAAATCCACTTCCCCCAAATTCCTGTAATCTATCTTTTTCTTACATATATATATGTATATAGATTGTGATTAATCGAACCACCACCGCCATCATTGTTCTTGCCAGAACAGTGGAGCCTCAGCATCGGGTCGTTGTCGGGAATTTCTATAGCCGTCAACGTTGTCTGGTACGATGGTCGCCTTCGTCGAAGCTTCGACTGGTCGTCGCCGTCGTCGGGAATCATGGTTGGATCACAAGCTTTTGGTTGGTGGTGGCTGTGGATGAGAAGTGGTGGCGGCGGCTGTGGTTGTTGGGGAGAGGCGGCAGCTGTTGTTGGCGTAGGTGCGATGGCGACGGCTGTGGTTGAGAAGGGCGGCGGGTTGTTGTTGAGAAGGGCGATGATGGCTGTTGTTGATCATGAAGCAACGACGATGGCGGATCAAGACACAGAGGCGACGACGACGGCGGATCAAGAGGTGGCGGCGACGATGATGACGGCAGATCAAGACGCAGGGGAGTCGACGAATCAAGATACAGAGGCGATGACGACGGCGGATCAAGAGGCGGCGGTGGGCGGCGGCGTCGACGACGACAATGGCTGATTAAGACGTAGAGGAGGCGGCGGATCAAGATGGTGACGGTGGCGGATGTGGATGGGCAGTGGCGGATGTGGAGGAAACAGACTTTGAGATTGGGTTATATGTATATATATATATATATATATATATATATATATATATATATTTATATATGAGATGTATATATATTAATATATATGATGGTACTGATGTAATAGTGAATATATATAAGGGCAAATTTGACTTTTCATGAGTTAGGATATTTTACCATTAAAATAATTAAACATTAAAGGGCAATTTCGTCTTTTCAAACGTTTTAAGGGCTTGTTTGGATCAGAAATTTTCACGGGGGGTAGCTTTGTTCAAAAAAGGTTTAAGTTGCATATGACTATCAATATGGCAAACTTCAGGGGGTGTCATTGTAATTAACCCTTTTCTCATTTAGCTGAGAACATACAAAAAAAAATAATAAGGGCTAGAAACATAAAACGCCCCTCTTATTTACAAAAATTATCTACTAACCACCTCAAATGCATAAATTATCATATTACTCTTTTATGTTTTAAAAAATATATCATATCACTCCCTCCATGTTAGTTGACCATTTAAAATTAACGCGATCTTATCACATGTATCATATACTGCATTATAATGACCAAAATACCCTTGTTCTCTCGAAATGACGAAATTGCCCTTATGAGTATTTACTTTAGTTTTGTTATCTTCTCTTCTTCTTCTTCTTTTCTTTTTCTCTCGTTGAAGTGGTGTGAGGATTCCTCCATAGCATAACAGCAGTAACAGATCGAATGAATTCTCCCCAAGTGATGATGTGAAGCCCTAATTGATTGATTGAAGTCCCTAATTGATGATTTGAAGCCTTAAATTGCAGCTAGTTTCAATACTAAAAGGATTATTTGAAGCATGCCGCGAGTGCAGAAACTGCAGACCGACCGGACGGTGATCGAAGTCGGTTTATCAACCCTAATCACCGTGACAACCTTGAGACTGGTCAAGAAAGAACTCATTCGGTTCCGAATTATACGAACTGTAGGGAGAATCCTCTCCGGTTCTGATACGATTGTTCCGGTGATCGAGAAGGCATTGAAACTGTTGGAGATGGTGCTGACGTGTACGGATGGTCGAACGGCGATCTACGATGACGAGACATGCATGTCAGCGATCATGCAGAAACTGATGAAGGCATCGACTGTAGCGACGGAGCACGGGATTGTGGTGCTCTAGAGCGTATGTTATCTGTCCAACGACACAAGAGGCTGTGATGAAAATCAATGGTTCAACAAAAGTTTTGGTTGTTCAGCAAGCGTGAGGCAGATGTGTGGAGACTTGGTTAAGGTGTTCCGAGTCAACTCAAAATCATGTTTGGCGAGTTATGACACGAAGACCACTCATATTATGTCTTACTGATTCATCATACGAACCAAAATCATTTGATGTGGTTTTGTTTTGTTTCTCCTAACTATACTCTTCTCATTGACATGATTAGATAGGCCAAAGTTGTAAATGAAAACCAAATTTATTGATACAAAAAAAAAAAGAAAAAGAAAAAGAAAAAGAAGAAGAAGAAGAAGAAGAAGAAAAGAAACCAAATCAAATCAATTTTGTTGGTTCTGATACCAATTTGAGAAATCTGATACCAATTTGAGAAATTTTTGGTTATATTTGTTTGTTGTGGATGTTCAGTAAATTTGGATCCCGAAAATTGCATTATTTTGTATGTCGTTTAGATTTTTTACAGTACAAATACAACAGAAGGGATGAGAAGAAACGGCTGTAGTGGTAATGAAGATGAGGCTGTAGAAACGGGGGCGTAATTGACATTTTAAATTCACAATTTCATTTTAATATAATATTAATAGACTATCAAGGGCATTCTTGTCATTTTGCAGTCACTTAACGGTTCTGTAATGGAAAGGAGGCAATATGATAGTTTATATTAGTTCAGAGGGTTTTTTTAATAATTGATGGAGTTATATGTAATTTTTGTAAACAACAAGGGAGTTTTATATTTTTAGCCCTAATAATAATAATAATAATAAAACGTTTTTTGTGGCTGTCAAAAAAATTATTGTTAGAAAAAAATTATATAAATTACTTTTTCAATTAAAGTATTTTTTAAGTTGTTTGATAACAATATTTTTTAAAGCAGTGATATTGTTAATTTTATAATAATGTCTTCTATTAATAGAATATTATTATATTTGATAATAACTTTATAAAAGAATTGGTGAAATTGTCTTTAAAATAAAATAAAAAAGATGAAATTGTCTAACAAAAAATAGTTACCTACATATAGAACACACTTTAAAAGTTACAAAAAAAATTTAGCTTCATTCAAAAGCCAAGTGAGGTAAAATTGATAACTATTAAAAATAGAGAACACATTTTAAAAAATTAAAAGTGCTTTTGTGTGTTATTATAAGGGCTAAAAATCATAAAACACTACTTTCAATTTTTTATCATAAAAGTCTAACCTGTTTCTAAAAACCCCAATATTATTACAAAGTTATTACATCCCCAATTCTATTAGTTTGGGGGTTAAAGTAGCGCGTGCTGCTCACTTGCATTGGCAAAATATTTTTAGTAACAAAATTACCCCTGCAAAACATGTGTCAACCATGTGCTGTTACATTTTTTTGTTATTCCAAAAATATCCCTAAGCATGTTAAATAATAGAAGTCACCGCTTACTCATCCACTGAAAATGATTGAATTTTAATGTTTGAATTAAAATTTTAAATAATTTGTGACGGAAGACATTAAAAGAATATTTTTTAAAAAAATTATTTAAAAAATTTACCATTGAATTATGCTTTTTCTTTTTAAACACAAACGATGCCTTTCATTTTATTTATTTTTTAGAAATACATGAAGTCTAACTTTGAAAATCTTCTTCCAATTGAGTTTTGAATCAATTGTTTTTATTTTTATTTTTTTATATATATCGTTTTTCAAAATAAGAATTAAACTTTTGTAATTAGAATTTTATTCAAAATTTAGTGGTTATTCAAAATCTATTAGTTTCCCATTTGAACGTATTTGAAAAAATTTATTAGATATCATAATTGTTATCAATTTTTATATTTAAATTGTGTAGTAATTACTCTAATTAGTCAATTTTTTTAAGTAAGAAAATGAATCAATTTTTTAAAAATATAAAATAATTAAGCATATTTTAATGACTTATTTAGTTTTTTTGTTTACTAAATTGTGAATTCTACAAAAGATTTTTTATTTAAATTAAATGATCTAAATTATAATTTAATACATAATGTAATATTCATAAATTGACTTAAACTAAATTATAATATTCAGGTTTGTGCATAAGGGTAATTTTGTAATTTGTAAAATATCAATTTTTGATTCTTTAAATAAAGTGGTATATCATAAGAGTAATTTAGTCATTTAACAAGTCATTAACGGTTCATTGACAGAATTGAGACAATGTAATAACTTTGTAATAGTGTTGAAGTTTTTAGAAACAAATTGAGTTTTATGATCAAATATTGAAAGTAGTGAGGGTTTTATAATTTTAGCCATTTTTGTTATATGATATTGTTGGTATTAAATTTAAACTAAGTTATTAGCGAACAAGCATGCACACACAAAATAAAGAGTTAAAAAGTATATATAACACCACTTTTGCTTACATGAAACAATCTAATCTAAGATTAAGAAAAATTACAAGACTAATTCAACAACGCTAATTAAATTTTTTAAATTTTTTTCTTGATAAATAAGGATAACCAAATATAGTCAGACCTGTTCGAAAAGTTGTAAATTACAGACTAAACCACTTAATAATCTAATACTTCCAAGGGGATAGTAATGGTAGTGTAAAAGTGCATAATGACATTAGTAGGGATCAGGGAAGTAAGTTTTTTGAGATCTCGCTCGACATTAATAAATGGTAGAGTAGGAGTTAATAGCGCGTGCAATGGTGCGAGTGCCGTTGTGATTACAAGGGACCAAACCCTGCGTTTTGCCGAAAAACTTCTCTGAACCCTTATCTAAAATGGGCCGACCCGACTCGTTCGGCTTTACAGTCTGGGTAGCACTGTTTTCTGGACAGAATTACAGATTTACAGGATAAGACTTCGCAAGATAACTCGTTTGTATTGGCATTTTGTTCAATTTTTAGGGGTAAAATAGTCTTTTCAGAACCTACATGGTGTGGATAGCGACACCCGACCGATTAGTTGAAGGTCTATTAGTAAAAAGGTTGAGGCGTATCGAGTACTAGGGGGTGTAGGGACCACTGAGATAGACCAGTCATAGTCACCACCACAATCAATCACTAGATTGGGTTAAACATCACTGACCATTCTCTATCTATCTCTTCACTTTTTCTCTCTTACCTATTCAGTTTTTAGGAAGTTATGTGGGTTCATATTTGTGCAACATAAATAAAATAAAATAAAATACAGTATAAAATAAATTATTATTATTATTATTATTTACTAATCATGAAGAATATTGATGAAAAGGAAATGTGATAAAAGAAGGAAAAAAAGAGGTGAGAACAAATTATACTTATCTAAGGTTTCTCCATAGTATGCTTGTTTTAGTTTTTGTAGAATAAATTTCTATTTTTGGAAAACTCAAAAACAAAAAAATTGTATAAATACATGACTAATTTAAGACTTTCTTGGGAATCACTCATCTTGGTACTATTCCAAGTTTTAGAGTTTCAATAGGTTCAAAGTTATCACGATTTTAAAACGCTTTGTCATAGATGTATGTTAAATATATGTATAGCACTTATCCCATCCGCACTTAGACGACGCGGGATTGTGCATTGTGGCTCTCCCAATAGGTGGTGCATTAATATGACTTCTCCAAATTAAGATTACTAAAAATTTTCAAAAAAAATACTTGAATCCCTCCCTCCCACCCACCCAAATAAATAAATAAATATGTTCTTTTCATAATGGAGCTCATTGACTGCAGTGACAAATTATAAATAGTGTGAAAATTTGTGTATCCATAACTCTGCAAATAAAATAAAAAACAACAACAATAATAATAATAATAAATTTAGTTCTCAAATCCTATTCACTTCCCTATCACCACATCTAACAATGACACCAATGACCAAACCACCCTTCATTATATTCACAAAGTGAGATTGAAGTCAAATGAAACAGCTTGACTTCACTTTTAGGTCTGTAGAGTGGAAATTACCTATTTTTAGGTAGATTTTGATGTTATTCATGCAAGTCAAAAATGTGGGACACAAGGCTAGCAATAAACATTTTTAAATACTTCAAAACATAGTGGCAAGCACTCTCTTTTCCTAGGCTTCAAGCACAAGGCCCTAACCCTAAGTTAATCAAATGATTATTCACATAGTATTAAAGTTTTAATCATAGTTTAACATTATAAGCTTTTTGTATTTTATATATATATATATATATATATATATATATATATATTTGATGGTCACAGCCAAACAAAGTGGACTATCATCCATGGGGGCATTAAAGAAAAGGGAAAAGGAAATTTCTTTAACAAGGACTATGAGTGAACCTAGATTTGTTTAGATTACCAAAGTCTAAGAATAATTATTCAATAAAACAAAGATAATTAGGTCTTAGGAAGAACTTGAACTTGTGAATATCCTCTCCTCGGTCGGGTGGGTGTTACCCAGTGGCCTATTTGATATCACGTCCACCCCTCTCGAGCAGGTCGGGCACCGCCCAATATGGTTCGATCATTTATAAATTGGGCCTTGAAAGAGCCTTATTTGGATTATTGTGTTTTTTTGGTTGTGGCCATTGCTTCAGCTGTATGCACAGCCCAAATTCAGCTCAGAAGTCTAACTAGGAAGGGTAAGTTACCCTGCCATCAGAGAGGTGATATACCGTTAATTACCCTAAGGTTTTCTTTCGGGTGACCAAATTTTATAAAATAATAATTGTCATACATAATACAATAATAATAATATTATTATTATAATATAAAAACATTATTGACTTTTCAAATTTAAATTTTTGACCACAATGAATTGAACTCCTAACGTTGAACGATCTACCGTGTGTAATAACGTTGAACGATTTATCGCGTGTAATTTATGAGAAACTGCATGTAATTTATGAGAAGCTCAGTATAATTTACCTAAATAAGAATGTCATCCACACGCGCGAGACTCATATTTAAGCATAAGAAAGCTTTACTCTTGTGAGACCAATAGATTCTGTATGTGAATCACAAATTACTAACAAACAAGTTAAAAGTCACCCTGAGCTTAATTTTTCAACCTTGCCTAAATACGTGAACAGATGCTTAAATGGAGAATTTGCATACCCAACAAAAATCATATCTATAGACCACATGTACACACACACACACACACACTGATATAAAGACAAATTCACCTACCAAAAGCCATATCTATATAACATATGTACCCACACACACAAACACACATCGATATAAATACATATTTACCCACCAAAAATCATATCTATTTAAAACATATGTACCCACACACACAAGCACACATCGATATAAATACATATTTACCCACCAAAAATCATATCTATTTAACATATGTACACACACATTGATATAACTACAAATTTACCCACCAACAAAAACCATATATATATGACACACACACATACTAGGTCCATGCCTTCTACAATTATTAGTAATTATATATTAGGCTTATTAGCAGACTTCTGCCAACAGATAATATATATATGTATATATAATTGCTTCATTATGAAAAGATCTAACAATATATAAATTCATTATACAATCAACAAAAGAAACCACTTAATTTGATTAGCAAGAAGGCCAGAGTGTAATACAACAAACCAAACTTCAAAAAGGAGTAGTGAGGAGTTCAAGAAAGCAAAGTTAAAGATAGACAACAACTACAAATGGTGTTTCTGTGAGGAAACAGAGTCAATTAGTCAGATTTCTTATCCGCAGCTTGTGAATTGTTTGCAGCAGCAGCAGTTGCTTTCTTTTCTACTGGTTGTGACTTGTTTGCAGCGGCCGAACGCTTGTCCTCTGCCATTTTCGACTGTATCTCGTCCCTCTCTCTGAAATACCTCTCGAATGCCCTCGGGAGGAATTGAGGAATCAAGAAACCAAAAAGATTGATGGAGAAGTACACAAAATTTGCAACTGCCAAGCTCTTCCCGAACCAATGCCACGCAATGTCCTGCACCATTGATTGTTAGGAAATTAGCTTCTAAAACTATACATTTCTCCTCCCCTTTTGGGAGGTTGAGTCCTCAAGCCCTGCTAGAGGCAAAATTGTGGAAGAGTGCACGTTTGCTTGAACTTTTGAAAAATAAATAAATAAACGAATTAGCTTCTAAAACTGTGTGACAAATAATAAGAATTGGTTTGTGACGGACTTGATGAATCAAATACCATGGTCTAATAATGAAACATTTCAATTAGTTGATGATAATAGTATATGCTGATAATTTGTGAAAAATCCGTGTGAAAAGTTTCATTAACACCTAATCCATGTCGAGTAGATCTTCTTCTTGTAAGAATTCTTAATGCATAGTTGTGGGGAGGGATCATGCAATGTCACATACCATTGACTGTTCGGAAAATAGCTTCTAAAGTATGCGAAACACTAATCAATGCAGTTAAAGAAAATGCACAAATAGTACACAAGAAGAGCACATAAACTAGTTATATACCTTGATTTGTGCATTTGCAGGCAGAGTCTTGTTAAGCCAGACATCGGTTATCCAATTGGTCATCACAAACAACCTCCTGGTGGTATAAAGCAACGGCACCAATGCCCTCACCGGTGGAGAAAACAACGATAACCCACTTATGATATTCTCGGTCAGTATCTGAAACGAAAGCAGGAACAAGTGAGGGGTAGCTGATCGGACTGCGTGCTCATCACCCCTCGCGAAGCCACCCAATACATATGCCAGTGGCAGGAACAGCCCTATGGTGGTTCCAAGGATCACGTAGAATCGGAAGAGTCTGCTTCCTTCGAATATTTCCTGCGATTCGGTGGTCCTACCGTGCGCGGGAAAGGCTAGTCGTGAGAGGGCGAGGAGGTAGGCAGAGGTGAAGGCCGGGAAGATGAGGTCTATGAGTGGGACAAGGCCGCTGGCTGAGAAAACCATGATGAAGGCTACTAGTTGGAGTTCTATCACACGCAATGATCCCATTACACCCCCCACCATCGATTGAAGCGGGTCTTGGCGGCGTTGTACGGGCTTCGGTGGGGATTTTGTGGCGGAGGTGCCGGTTTGGTCAGGCTCGGTTCTAGGCGCAACAGCGAGGGTAGCACCCGACATTTTCCTTTCACTTCTTCTTGAGTTTTGTTTTGCTTAAATGTGTAGGGTTAGTTTATATGATGGACCTTTAAAAAGATTGAAATGGAGAATTCAGGAGAATCTCAATGGCGCCATAAAACAGTGAATAAAGCAATTAAACAAATACTACACATACCTGCTACATGAAATAATGTATATATATATTATGTACATATACAAGGAACATGCAAATTTTCTTACTCAAACCCAAAAAAAAAAAAAAAAAAAAAAAAAAAAAAGATCTAGTTACCTTAACCATAAAATCAAGAAAACAGGACAATTGTTATTATTATTATTATTTTTTTTCAAAAGTTTCGGCAAATACATACCCATTGTAAATTTTTTTTCCCCCCATCTGGACTTATACTATCCAGACCAGAATCCGTACTTACAAAATTAAATTATGTTAAATTCAATTAGACTACAGCCCATCGGCATACTTGCATACAAAATCAAATTATGTCAAATTCAATGAGAATAACGACTAAACCGTATATTATTCAGTGTATTAGTAAAAATCTAAGGTGCATAGGATGGTACAAGTCATTTTTGTTTTTTATTTTTATTTTTTCTTGATTAGGTAGGCAACTAACACGCACAATCCAAAAAAAAGAGAGATCATGTCACCCAAGCCAACGGTAACAACAGTAAGCAAATAATTGCTAAAATTGTACCGTGACTTATTAAGTGTATATAATAATTGTACAATATAAATATAATCTCGTGGCCACACATTTAAGTGAAAAAAAGTATATAGAAGAAGTATTGAAATTCTCAACAAATTGAATAAAATTGAACCAAGTTCAGTTACAATTAAGACACTTTACAAAAATAAATAAATAAATAAAATTTATCTATTCAACCCCAAAAAAAATGAATGAATTAAACACAAGAAATTGCTATGATCTGAGAAATGCATGATTAATGTAAAAACATCATATCCACACACACACATAAACACACCAATTTGAAAATTAAGCCACAACAAAATATGTGTATCAATATTATCATAAATCAAAATTTTTTTTTTTTTTTTGAAAGGTAATATTATCACAAATCAGAAAAAAAGAAGAAGAATATGATGAGATCTTACTATTTCAGTTGAGAGAGCAAGAAGATGGATCCAAGAGCAAAGCAAAGAGAGGGGTCATGGCAAAAAAGAGAAGGACGTAGCCAAAAAAAAAATGTATGTATGTCATGATGTACTGTGGACTGGGTCTAAGTTTCGCACGTGTGTTCATGTAATTGTGACACGGGCGAGTCCCTAAGTGTTACAAATTCAACACGTGTTTTTCGGCGTTCAACACGTGGTAGTCCCATAGGCGGTGTCTTCTTCGAGCTTATCGTGTTGATGTTGGTAATGGGTGCTTGAACATGTTGTCTGGGCTTTCTTATAAATTGGGCCGCTTCTAATTGTAAGCCCCAAAACCTACAAATATTATAAAAAAAAAGAAAAAAAGAAAAAGTTAAAGCACATACATCTTACGCGAGAAAAAGGGGAAGAAATTTCAAAAACATAAAACAAAAACAAAAGGATAACAAGAAGAGAATAAAAAGGAAAAGAAAAATAAAAGAACTTTGAAAAAGAAAAAATAGGATTTGATTGCAGAAAATGAATACATATAATTTTGAAGGGTATTAAAGGAATTAGAAAAAGAAGAGGAGGAATAAAAGAGAGAAGAAAAATTAACAGAGAGTTTGTTATTTTTTTTTTTACTAAAAATAAAATTTCATGGGGCCATTTCTTAATATTTTCATTTCCAATAGTGAAAGTGATTAAATTTGTGATACTTCATTAATGTGACACTCTCCATTGGGTACATAACGCGAAGTTATTTGTTACAATAGTTATGCCATGTTATTCATGCAACTAATTAATATAAACACTTCGGTAATACAAATGGTCCAAATGGATAAGTAATTTTTTTTTTTTTTTTTTGATGGTAAAGCAAACACACACACTTTTATTGCCCACGCCGGGGCTCGAATCCTTCCCCTCTTCTTTGAAGATGGGGAGGTTATACCATTGGGCCAAAAACCCTTTGGTAATGGCTAAGTAAATTGTGAACCTTCAATTGGCATGTGAGATCAAATTATTTTTTTGAAAATCAAAATATAAAACAATTTTCATTTTCTTTAGCTTGAAATTTTGCTTAGTTAAAAAAATTACAAAACAGTTTTTAAAAACATATATGAGGAGGAAAAAAAACAAAGAATAGGAGAGTTTATTTGTCCAGTACAACACATACATATGTTCAAAAAATAAAAATAAAAATAAAAACTAGTCTAATAGCATTCTTCCCAGGTAAAATTATGACCTATCCATATGTTCCAAAACCCACTTGACCTGCTTCCTCAATCTTCTCTTTCCCAAACTACAGAAACACATGGCTTTCTCCTTCCCAAACTACAGAAACACACATGGCTTGAAACCAATTTTGATGATGTGAGCATGTGTGAGCTAGCAATGATTTGGGTGGTACATTCTGCAGTTGACTCTATCTTAACTGTGATTGTTGAAATCGGATTACAAAAATTATAATATATCCTATCTTAAAAGAAGATAATTACATAAATATAAATATATATACAAATACGTGATAAATAATAATATCTCAAAATAACATAATTAAAAAATTATATATAATTTTAATTATAGACTTAGAAGCACGTAATCGCTTTTTGAATATAATTGAAGTCTCTCTTAAATGCAATCGAGAGATCAAATGGTAACACTAACTCTAGGATTCGACAAAGTCAGATTTAATAATATATATAGTCATAGAAGGGTATTCTCTACAAAACCCATGTATTTATTTCTGTCCAAAATAAAATATATTTAAAAAATATATATTCTAAATAAGTATATCAATATATATGTAAATATCGAGCGCAGAAGTTGGAAATTTCTAAAATTTCATAACTGAAATTTCAATTCCAATCGCTGAAATCTAGTTTTACACCGGAGTCTCGTTGGTACCTCATCAAAACCTCCTCATACCTTTATTGGAATCTGAACCTCGTTAGAGTTTCACCAGAAACTCTCTTTTTTGTTTGGTGCACTGCGAATGGGCTTACCTTTAGCCCCTTTATGGGGCTCCAATTTATGATTTGGACAATCTTGGTTGCTTGATGGGTGACTTGACCTCGAGACCTGTCGTGCAAAATGGAAACCCTAAGTCTCCATCTACCAAGCACGTAACTTGTTGTTTATATTCTAAAATTTGGAACTAATCTAATTAAAGAATATTTTGAAAACCTTTTAAAAAGGTACCATCTATTTTAAAACATGTTCGAACAATGATTGCCATAACATAACCTAAAAGAGAGAGAGAGAATCTTTATTGATTTTCCAAACTTCTATTTGAAGTAAATCAAAGGTGTTTCTTTCTGTGCTTATTGGAGATTTTTCTGTGCCCTATGATCTGTAATGGGGTTTTATGAATGGCTATTTCAACTGGTTTGTGTTCATGGTAAAATTGGTGATGGTGATGATGGCATAATGGTTGGCCTCTTAATGTTTTGATGACTAGACTGAAGAAGTTTACCATGGATCAAAATGGTTTATTTTTTTGCAGATAAAGAGAAAGGGATGTACGATAGAGAGAGGTTGTGAGTTGAAGATAAGGTGGGTATTATTTATAACGTTACTCCCATCCTTTTTTTAAGTGAGGAGGTGTTCTTCATGTTTCCACAAATAACAATTCCTTATTTTTAAAGACTCTCAAAAACAACTTGTTGACCTCAAGGATTTCATCCAAGGGCAATCTAGTAGTTTTAATAATTACAAACCATTAATGGTGTTTAAGGAATAATGTTTACATTGAGTATTATAGATGATTCATATTCCAAGAATGACCTCAATAAAGCAATAAAGATCATTCTAAGTACTCTATTATTCAAGATCACATGAATGGAAAACAATGGATATAAAGAGACGTGAAGTTACAAGGAACCAAATGCAAGTCCACTCAAAGATAGCTTGAACAATAATGAACAAGCAAACTACTCAAAGGAAGAAAAGCAAGAATACCTCAAAGTCTAAACGATCATGAACAAAGCTTGAAGAAATGGGTAGATAGCTTGGTGAGTATTTATGATTCAATGTTAAAGTATTAATGAATCCATTTGAAGCTCATCTTTATAAGACTATGCATATCATTATATCATTCATTAGTTCCTATAACCATTAGCAATTGACTATGAACTTCATTACACAAATAATTAATAGATGAAATCTTTGCTAAAGAATGAGTTATTTCAAGCTTTCATAATCTTTGAAAGAACTCAACACTTGAGTTAGAAATACTAAGACCATGTACTTTAATCATATGATTAAATCATATGATTTAATCTAGAAAGTAGTGTTTAAGGCATTGAACTTAATTATTCATTTATAAGGCCTTTGTTACCTTGAGTTGGTTTAAGACTTTAGGACCTAATGCATTTGACAAAAATCATTCTTAATGGTCCCTAGACTCTTAGATATAGGTCATACAATTCAATTATAATCATTGATTGACCTAATGGATCTTCTAAGCCAAAGATGCCTTCAAAAGTGTGTACAAACACTTCAAGGATCATATGAGCAGCCTCCTAAAAGCTTATAAGGTGGCTGGTAAGATTAGAGAGTTTTTAGGCAAATAGTGGATTCATATGAGTAGCCTAGTATGCCATATGAGGCACCTGGTATAAATCTGATTTTGAATCCAATGGCTCTTTAAGCATTAAATGCACTCCTAGTTACCTTGCAAAAACTCTTTCATCATATTTCAGCCTATATACATGGGGCAATGATGAACACAATACATAACTTTAACAGAGTATTTTAAGAGCACTAAAGAAGAGAACTTGTGAGACTTCATTAAGCATCCAAAGAATTTTTGCTTTATTCCGAATCATTCAAAGAGCTTTTGCTCTATTTCAAAGATTCAAAGAGCTTTTGCTCTATTTCATATACATATCAGTTTGTGAACAATCTTTCACTTCAGAGAAATTATTGACTATATAAGAGCTTTTGTTATTCATTTATATCATCTTCTCTCATTCATAGAGTATTGAACTTCATTTATATTCATATATACTCTAGTTGTGAGCTTGATTTGCATATCAATCTTGTGAGATATTCTTGTGTAACAAATTATTTCTACAATCTATTGTAAGGGTTGGTTTGACCCACCGGGTTGGTGTGACCCAAAGAAAGCCTAAGAGAATGATTTTTTCTTAGCAAACAAATTTTAAGGGTTGGTGTGAGAAGACTAGGAGAAGGTTGTTCTCTTAGGAAGCAACAAATGAGAAGCAAGGACTAGTTTCTTGTGAAGGTTTGCTCTCCACTAGTAAGGAGAAGTCATAGTGAATTTGGGAATGTCTCAAGAGGGATCTTGAGTCTAGGAGTAGGAGTTTTCGAACATCATAAAAATTGCTGTGTTATAGTTTGTAATTTCTCTTCCCTTATCTCTGTTATAATTGTGATATTAATTGCTTACTTTCATATCTTTATAATTGCATCATTGTGATAAATAGTTTACTTGAAATTGCTTTCTATAAAATCACATTGTTTAATTTAGACTCTATTTAACCCCCCCTTTCTAGAGTCATTTATTTGGTAACAATTGGTATCAGATCCTAAACTCTATTTAAAGGACTTAACCGTATTAGTGTATGATCATGGCTAGCAATGGCACACTTATTCATTTTAACGATTATTCTACCAGTACGCCTCCATGGTTCGATGGTAGTGATTACAATTATTGGAAAGCTAGAATGAAAGTCTTTTTTAGAAGTCTAGATTTTGAGTTTTGTGATGTAATAAAAAATGGAGACAACATTCCAACAAAAATCGTAGATGGTAGAGAAGTTCTTAAAATAAAATCGGAATGGAATGAAAATGATCATAGATTATTCAATGTAATTCAAAGGCCAAATATAATCTTTATTGTGGATTAAGTAATGATGAATTTCATAAAATTTTCGATTATACTATGGCTAGACAAATTTGGCAAAAGCTTGAAGTTACCTATTGAAGATGCAAGAAATTTTCTTTCTCTAAATTGACAGAGTTTCATTACACTTCAAATATTTCGATCCCCTATTTCCTTCATTTTTCACCTATTTATAGATTATTTACAATGTTCTAGAAGATCCCTAACTAACTTCTTCCATTGGGCTCATCATTGAGGCTTTTGTATCTATGGATCTATTCGTCTTTCAGGCCTTCAACTTCACTCTTCGGCATTGGGCTTGCCTCACGGCAGCTTGATTTTGGCCCAGGCTATTTGCCTGGCCCATTCTTCATCATGTGGGTTAGATCCGGCCCATGCCGCCTTTGGTATCCTCATCTGCCCCCATAATTACTCCCTTATTAATTAGGGTGTGATTATCAATAGACCTAATGATGACTTGATGGCTAATAATGATTCGACGGTTCGAGACGATCACGTGGGGTATCGAGCGGTCGGCCTCGGAATTAATGTCTTTGAAATTTGAATCTTTTTAACTCCCTGACGTCTCGGTTAGCGGGACCACTTCCCCTTTATATACCACTCCTTTATATCCACATCTTCCCTTGTCGTACCCCCCACAAATCACTGTCGATCGATTTCAGTTTGTTCTCTCAAGGCAACTCAGATTTTTCTAGTCAAGCCAACTATTCTCCGGCGAATCCAGTGAAAGGTTCTTCTCTCTCAATTTTTTTGCAACTTCCCTTGCTGATCTTCATCTTTTCAAGGTTAG